TCCCTGAGCACTTTCCATAGAGTTCCAGAGGACTCAGATGAAAATGGTGGCTTCCCAGTCTCCGTCCCGGATGAGCCAAGAGCTCAGGGCCCCACTCCTCCGTGCGCCCTTGGAGAAAAGCACTCAATCACTCCTGTCTCCCTGACCTCCGGCCATGCTCCAAGCTCACCCAGCCTATGACCAAGCATCTCTGTCTCTGGCACACAGCCCCGCCTGGAGTCTCCAAACCCCGCAGATCCCTGTGCTCTTCCGGGGGGGGGGGGGGTCTTCCCGGATCTTGTGGGGTCCCCACTCACAGAACAGTGGTCTGTGCCACAGATCACAATTTAAGGTAACCCTGAGTTGAGAGCTCACTCCTTGACTTTGTCTCTGTAGCCGGCTTCCCCGCTGTAATATCCGTGAGCTCTGCGACAGTCGGACACTCGCAATCCTTCTGTGACCCTGCGGGACCTGAGGCCATGCTGACCCCGCGTGGGCTTCACCTTGGTTTAGCCTGTGGAGCGATGTCCCTCAGTGGAGCAGACTTTTACAAGTTCTGATTTTGTGCTCCATTGCTCCGCTGCTTGCCGGGAGCCGACCCCTCCCTGCGGGGTCTATATTCCCGTTGCTTTGGATTCACTTCTCCACCGGTCCTACCTTTCAGAAAGTGGTTGATTTTCTGTTTCCAGAATTGCTGCTCTTCTTCTCTTCGATCTCCTGTTGGATTTTTAGGTGTTCAGAATGGTTTGATAAGCTATCTAGCTGATCTCCTATTACCTGATGTCATCTCAGCCTGCTACTTCTCCGCCATCTTGATGACTCCTCTCTGTGATTTCTTTTTTGGTCCATTGGTTAAGAGTATGTTATTTGATTTCCACCAGTTTGTGACCTTTCCAGTTTTATTTTTGATTTCTAACTTCATCCTGTTGTGGTTGAAGAAGATACTTTGGATGATAGTCTATCTTTTCATATTTATTGAGACCTAATTCATGGTCTAACATCTGGTCTCTTCTGCAAAATGTCCTATGTGCATTTGAAAAGAATGTATATGCTGTTGTTGGTTAGAATGTTCTGTATATGTGTTAGATTTACTTGGTTTATTGTGTTACTTAAGTCCTGTATTTATCTTCTAATTGTTGTATCCATTATTGAAAGTGTAGTATTTATGTCTCCAACTATTATTATATGGCTGTTTATTTCTCCCTTCAGTTCTGTCAGTTTTGCTTTATATATTTTGATGGTCTGTTATTAGGATTATTCAGGACTCAGCCCTCTGAGCCTGATTGGAGCTTTAGGTCCCTCTAGTGTCATGCTTAGTGACTTTGCTTGGTTTCATAATTTAGAGTATTGGGCCAATGACTTTTCCCATTGGTTCACTTCTGAAGTATGAAAGACTCTATTCCTGTTAACCAAGCTCCAGTTTATAGAAAACAGACAAAATTGCAAAGTATATGAAAATGTAAAAACACAATTAAGATATATAGCCATGATATAAGATTCAAAAAGAAAGAAGCTGTGGACTGGATTATAAATTAAATATTGGAAAAATGACCTCAGTTCTGCTTATGAAGATTTGAGGCTGCCCTGTTGCTTTTCCTCAAGCCATTCTGTGCCTTCTGGAATTATTTCTAATCCAAGGGTTCTTAACCTTTTTTGATCATATACAATTTTGAGGATTTGCTAAAAGCTTTCTATTTTTCCCCAGAAAAGTGCTAATGTGCTCATTTCATATATATGTATATATATATACATATATATGTATATATATATAGTTAACTAAGGATAGTTAGAGAAACTACACGATTGAACAATATCAAGGAGAGAGGGGGCATGAAGAACAGAGAACATGGAATTGAGCCATAATCTTTGCATTTCCCAATGAAGCTTTAAATGTATCTGTAGTCTTCACTTTAATCAAAATAGTTTAATTTAGGAAAGAAAGAGCCCACTTCTTTATCTTTATAAAATCTTGATTTTATTTCTTCCTGAATGTTTTTTCTTTTTAAAGGAAAAATATAAACCATATCTTTCAGGGGTCTCAGACTGACAGCTTAACTGAGGTCATGCTAAGATTCAAATATTTCTTTCTGGTCATGATAGGATGGCCAATGGGATGGATCTGACAAGGGTCTATTAGCAGCAAGGATGAAGAAAGTCCCTTTGGAATGATCTCATCATGGGGAAGAAACTGCTGGTTTGGGACAATGTGTCAGGTTTGAGGGTTAAGTGTGATTTAAACACACATAGGTCACTTACTGCCCTGAAGCCTCTACTGACTTGAGTTTGACCCAAGGAAAGAAACAATTGTGATGAAAACGCTAAAATTTTGTTTTATTAAACTCTCTGTAAGGCATTGTAGAAGATGTTGGTGATACCCTATGCCAATGCCTTCAAAGGTTCAAAGGTTGGTTTTGGTAAACACCTATGACTTTGAACCTGAGAGCAATTCTTCTGCCTCAAAAGGAGAAAGCTCACACCTTAAGCTGGGCAAGCTGGAAATGCCAGTAAATTAATGCCTCTGGAAACAACCCTCAGTCAATGACAGATGGGAACTTGGTAAGGAAGCAGCCCTTAGCCGATGATGAAGAGCTTCCTCATCCCTCTGGTTGGAATAATTCATAGATGTGTTTTGTCCTCTCTCCCAGAGTCCTCCAGCATGACTGGGCTTTATGGATAAGTGGCTTGATAACACACTGTTTATTGGTTTTCTTTCCATCATTATCTTACTTTTCCTCCTCTCTTTCCACTCTTCCTGGTATTGCCTCCTGTATAAACTACTTGCACTTAAATCCTTATCTCAGAGGCTGTTTCTGGGGAGAAACTACTAAAAAGCGCACTGAGCAAACAAGGCAGCCCAAGCTTGGAGTCAGACCTGGATTCAAACTCCTCTTACCAGTGGGAGTGAACAACTTAATTTCTCTAAGTCTGTTTCTTCAACTATAAAATGGGGACAATAACATTGACTTTGCAAGGTCAGGTTGTAAAGGTTATTTTTGACCATGTATAGAGAGCCTTGTGCATAGGGGCTGCACATAGTAAGTGCTTCATACATGCTGGTGACGAACATTAATACCATCTTTATAATACTGTGAATATAGAACGGCATAGGTGGAGGCCAAAGCTGGTTTTCAGCTTCGGGATGACCTCTGAAGTAGGCTAATTTGGCAGCTGTGCTCTAGGATCTGTTTCTAATGAGCATCTGGGGCTTATCAATCTCAGTGGCTTAGAGGAAGACTTGCCACAGACAGCCAAAGCAGGACAGAAAGATAGCAGACATCACATGATGTGTTAGAAGCCGAAGAGGTGGCACCATCAGTTATGCTGAGTTTCAACTGGGGGCCACAGTGTCATCAGTGACTTTGTATCTGGGTCCTCTATTCACTCTGATGGTTGTGGTTTCATTAGCCTCACTCTTGAGGGATTATGCTCAGGGCTACTGAGGTTTGGTTTCTAGTTTAATCTGTTTTCTCAAACATACAAAGGCCTCTTCTGCTTCTATTATGTTCATGACCTTGTTTTAGAGCCTTTCAAATTGGGGCTATTCCCTCTGCTCCCCTTCACTCCCCACCCCCCGACAAGATCGTATTGGAATTCTTTGATCATAGTGAAAGAAATGGAGAGACTGGGGCAGGTTAAAGGGTTTCACTCATTCTTTAACGCCAATTTATTCCAGTGCCAGGATTTGCCTGCAGGGCTGCAGCCTTTTCCAACAGCCGAAGGTGCCAGGGTGGATATAAATGATAGACTGCTTTGGCTAAGATGGCAGACAGCTGAGGGAATTGGTTGTTGCCCGCCCCCTGCAGGTGTAACTGGATAGCCATGGCGGGTAGAGTGTGTTTCAGCTCTTTTTAGTACTTCACTCTAAGCCAAATTAAAGGACCTATGGTGATGTTCCTTCACAATATTCTTTTACTGATTTAGACACTAACAGATGAATTTCTCGCCAGTTCAGAAGGAAGATACGTGTAAAGGAAAAGGCATGCTAACATGATTCTTATACCAAAACAACTTAAAAAAAAAAAAAAAACTTTCAAGAGAGAAGAGTATGGCAGAGAGAAGGAATCCAGCAACCTTGGCACACCTGACCTTAAGAACAATAACCCCACAGACTGTTCATCTCATCTGCTTCCTGGAAGAAAGATAAATCTTTCAGAGACCTTGTCAGAGGTCTTAACGTCATGTAGGGCAATTCCCAAGAAGGTCCCCTTACATCTGTATATAGTGTCAGAAAAATCTGGGGACATTTCCCCTTTAATACCAATCTCTGTAACACATAATGGTACCTCTCAGAGTGACTTGCATTAAAATGATTTGAGTTCAGGAGTGCTTTGGTGGCTAAGTCAGTTAAGGGCAAGCTCAGGTCGTGAGGCTGAGCCCCAGGTCAGGCTTTATGCTGCACATGGAGCCTGCTTAAGATTTTCTCTTTCCCTCTCCCTCTGTCCCTCCCCACCCCCGATGTGTGCTCTCTTGTGTGAAAAAAAATAAAAGGTGATTTGAGTTCACGTCTTGCGTTCATGTAAGATGGTGAGCTCACTGAAGGCAGAATTCAGATATGATTCATTTTTGTATGTCCAGAAGCCAGCATAGTTCCTAGCTGGGGTTGCCAGATTTAGCATGAAAACAAAACAAAACAATACTGAAAAGCTATTCGCTTATTCAAAATTCAAACTTAAGAGGGTGTCCTGTATTTATCTGGCATCCTATTCCTTGCACTTAGCGAACCTTGGCAAACATTAGCGAGTGCGTGAGTGACTAGCACCATCCCAACAAATGGAGAGCCAAACTGGTGAAAATGTGGATTGACTACGTAGAAGATCCTTCATAATCACAAAACATCCAAACTGTGTCTGGTTAACATGCTACCTGTGAAAATCTTGACAGCCTGGCTTTGACTTGAGACACATTTTTTACCCTGCTTGGTTAGCCATTCTCAGTGTCCATGTGGGAAGGATACGCATCTTCTGTTCATTTAAGTGTTTTGTTCCAACAATTTTACATCTTAATTCCACACATTTCTTGAGTTCATAGGTTTGCTTAATTGTTTATTGGTGTGGACCAGTTGTACAAGAAAATTGACATTAGATGATGCGTGGGGTTCAGTCGTTCTGAAGCACAATCAACTCTGTTATCTTCCTTTAAAATGGCCCAAACTGTGCTTTTACTCCAGCCGAACCCTGGGGTTTTGGGTAAAGTCATTGACTTTGATTAAACCATCAGGACCAATTCTGTTTGGGAAAAATATATATCTGGGGTTAGTTCGTTGAACAATCAGTTTTAAGAAAGACAGTATATTAACTCTCTCCTTCCAAATGAATTCTTTGTGGATCCTGCCCTCAATGCCTGTCTTTTTCTTTGACCTTGGCAGCCTGCTCCTCCTCCCCCACTCTTACCTTACTACCTAAAATCTGAGTGTGAGTCAGTTACCTGAAGGGCCTGCTAAAATGCAGACATCTGGGTCCTGCCCCTGAGTTTGTGACTGGGTATTTTCAGGTGGCAGCCTGAGAACTAGCATTTCCAACTCATCACCGGAATCACTGTCCTACACCATTCTTCCCTGGCCTTTCCCTTTCTCTTTTGGGTCCTTAGTTCTTTTTCTTCATCACATTTTTCTGTGCCCAGAGCAGTAGAATATAGCAAACTTGCTATATCATGGCCTGCTAGGTTTGTTTTCCCCGTATTCTTTCCCCTCTGATGGGTAAAAGTTTACTTACACTTCCTGTTCAATGTAGTTCAGCATTCGGCTGACATGTGAGGCAGAGATCTCCCCGTCCACCTCAGCAATATATGTGTAGAGAAACTGGAAGGTGCTAAATGGGATCCGGGGAGGTCCACTGTCATGGTCAGATGATAACACCTCGCACACTATCTTGAGGGTTTTGGCAATGGTCTATAAAGGCATAAGATAAAATGAGAAAGTCATTATTTCAAACTAAATTCCTAAGATCAGTTTAAAGGTTTTATTTATTTAACTGAGAGGAAGAAAGAGTGTGTGTGCACCCACACGCAGGAGTGGTAGGGAGGGGTGGTAGAGGGAGAGGGAGAAAAGGACTCCCCTCTGAGCAGGGAGCACAGGTGGGGCTCATTCAATCATGACCTGAATGGAAGGCAGAGGCTTAACAGACTGAGCCACCCAGGCATCCCCCCCGCAAGATCAGTTTAGATAAAAGAAAACAAATAAAAATATTGCTCTCATAAAATGAAGCGAGAATAATGTAATATTCTGGAAAGCTTGAACTTTTTACACCCAAACATCATTGAATTCCATCTAAAAAACATTGATGTACTGGGTTTCTTTCTTTTTTTCCTTTCCTTTCTTTGTTGGAGGAATACTCTCAAGGAATTAAGTTTATGAACTGAATATTTTAAGATATTTATTATTTTCATCAAAATAACCTCCCTAAAGGAGAATTTGATTTTACATTCTAAAAAATTAAAATTATTTCTTATTCTTATTGCTCTCCAATCTTACGTTCTGAAGAGTTGAGGTAATTAGTCTAGCTCATATGCTCCTGTGGGACTTGGAGCAATGCCACAGTGGGGGGGAAGGGAGGAGGAGAAGGGTCAGTCCCTGGGAAGACAGGAGTCCCAGATACAGGAAAAGTGACACTGGACATCAAAACCAGTTCTTCTAAAACATGTAGATCCATCTAATCAGAACACCTTGGTTGTTTTTTGTTTTACACCTTGTATTTTATATGACATGACATTCACCTCGTTGTTGCCGGGGAAGAACTAGGAGATGATGGATGCCCAAAGGTTTCCAGTATAGGAGCAAACCAATGAAACTTCCAACATCAAAAGGTCATGTTCAGAATTAGCTTTTACTCACCTGTGTCTTTCCATAAACCTATTCTTTACATAAATTTCTCAAGTGAATGAGTTGGGAAATTACAGGGGTAAAGGAAAGAAATGATTTGAAGAAAGGATTGTTTAGTTCTGAATTAGCAAACATAGGTCAGCGTGTCTACCAGGGCAGTTCACCAAAACAGATGATGTGTAGATTGTCCTTAAACACCTTCCAGGGACCAGTGAACAGTGAGTCCCGAGTGGTGAACTAGGTGTGCCTGGGAGAAGGAAAAGGCAGCTGCTGTTATCTCCCCAGAAGGCTGGCTGGCATTGCCCTTCCTCTGCAGCTGCTGCGGGCTCCTCTGTTCCCTTCCTCCCCCTGAATATAACGGATGTCTACAGGATGCCTCTTTAACTTGTGTGTGTTACCCAGGGGTGTAAGCGGGGAGGTATCAGGAAGTATATGAGGGCGCTGAATCAACTTGGCCATCTTCCTAGAAAGACAGTTTTACCTGATGACAAGTGATTTAAATATTGTTTGCATTAGTTATTAACTTTAATTGATTTAATTTTTACATTTTGTTTCTTTATGTTGATAAACATTGCTACCTTATGAACTGGAATCATCAGGGTACACGAATTTTAAAATAGTAAAACGCATGATGTCAAAGAGATTTGGGGTTTGCAGCAGGTCCCTTTCATTGACCCTCCTCTGCCCTTGGGAGCCCTGCCCTGGAAACTGCTGTGAAGTGCCATCTGTGGCAGTGTGCCACACGCTTCCAGGAAGGAGGGTGAGTGGCAGGCAGACCAGAGGCTGGGGAAGAGGCTGTCCGTGAGATGGTGGGGCATGTGCGGGATGCGAGGTCAGCATGACGGGGGGTTTGGGTAAATTTGTAAGCTTATGTGCAATGAACTCCATCATCTCCACTCATAGCTCATCCTCTCTGCTTCCCTTTCTTAAAAAAAAATCCCCTCTGCCTTTGTTCTGCTGTCCTCTTCCTGCAGGCTCATCCATATTGGGGTGCTGTTAAGGACTGAATTGTGTTCACCCCAAATTCATATGCTGAAGCCCTAACCCCAGGACCTCAGAACGTGATTCTATTTGGAGATAGGGCCATTTTAGAGGTAATTAAGTTAAAATCAAGTCTGTGGAGTGGGCCTTAAAATAAGATTGCTATCCTCATAAGAGGAGATTAGGACATAGACATGCCAGATACATACATACCCAGAGGGACAGCTATAGGAAGCAGCAGGTAAGGGCGCCTGGGTGGCTCAGCCCGTTAAGTGTCTGACTCTTGGTTTCTGCTCAGGTCATGATCTCAGGGTCTTATGCTTAACCCCCTACACATTAGGCTCAGAGCTCAGCAAGGAGTCTACTGAAGTTTTTCTCTTCCCCTCTCCCTCCCTCCACTCACTCATTCTCTCTCTCAAATAAATAAATAAAGAAAAGAAAGAAAGAAAAAGAGAGAGAGAGAGAAACAAGGAGACAATGGCCATTTACAAGCCAAGGACAATGGCCTCAGACACCTTAATCTTAGACTTCTAGCCTCTAGGACTGTGAGAAAATAAATTTCTAGTGTTTAAGCCACCCAGTCTGGGGTACTTTGTTCCATCAGCCCTACAAGCTAATACAGGTGCTTTCTACCCCAAACAGTATCTTTTGTTAATCAAACACAAACCTTTAAGTTTTATTGTCCTCAACATTTTAAAATATTTCATACATGGATGAATGGATAAAGAATTCTCTGGACTAGAACTTAAATAAATCTAAAGTAAACAAGGACCTGAGTTTCGTTGCACAAGATTTTTTGATCAGATGGGGATCTGCTTGATAAAGGGAGCCTTAAAGCATCTTCTGAGAGTCACAAACCCAGAGGTGAAAGCCTCAGAAAGCGAATTATTTGCTAACAAAACATGTCCTTCCTTCCTATGGTCTTCCTTTTCTACAATCAGTCTCCGTGGAACAGGAGGGAATAGAGGCTAGTCTAGAGGAAGGAGTGCTGAGAGGGAAGAGAAATATAGGTCTTCATGCCACAGTCTTTTGAATCCTGGGTGTAGATTGGGAGAGCTCAAGAAAGTCCCTGTCATTAGACAAAAGGAAGGAACTGGTTTTTCTAAGTGGCACCGAGATCATGTCTGACTGGTGAATTGGCAAAGGAAGGAGAAATTCCTGCGCTTGCCTCTAAGGGTATATGTATATATATGGAGATTTTATTCATTTATTTGAGAGAGAGAGAGAGAGAGAGAGAGAGAGAGCACGAGCAGGGGGAGGGGCAGAGGGAGGGGGAGAGGCAGACTCCCTGCTGAGCAGAGAGCCCAGAGCAGGGCTCCATCCCAGGACCCTGAGATCACCATCCGAGCCAAAGGCAGATACTTAACTGACTGAGCCACCCAGGCATCCTAAGGATATATGGTTTAACTAGACTGCAAAGCCTCTACCAGATTGTTGACACCCTCACACCTGACATTTAAGTTCGCAGCAATAGTCCAATGTGAAACAGATGGGTATAATGGGCCTGGTTCCTGGATTCACGAGGCACCCTTTATTTACAGACTAGCCCTTCAGGCTGACTTCACCTTGAGGTGTTCTGTGATGTTGGGGTGATGAGGGGCACAGTTAGATACCTGATGACCTCACTGTTATCCAAAGTCAGACCTGAGGGTGTCTCAGTAGAAATAGAGAAGGCAGACTAGAATCATAGTCTGTCAGAGATGAAGGAACTTTTGGAACATCTAATCCAATCTCCCTGTTTTGGAAGGGAGGTAAAAGATACAATTCACCTCATGGTTTCCCCATCCCCAGTGTGGGAGACAGACATACCAAAGTAAACCTAGCAGCTGCACTGTGAACTCAGCAGAGGGAGGAGTGGAATTTAATATTCTGTAGTCACTTTTTGTTACGGCAAGGCATGTGGAGGGAGAGGACTCATACATCTCACAAGGTGGTGAGGGTCTGTGAAGTAGACCACCGGAGCCAGGGTGCCAATGAAGGCAACCTGAAAGGGTTCAGAGAGGCCCTCAGAAGCCACCAGAATGATGGGGGTTGGGAAGGAGCACTGCGCTGTGAGAGAGAAGAGACCTAGGACTTAGGCTGCAAGCCCCTGAGACCACACAGACAGTATTTATTCCCATGGATTTCCAAGGACCAAGACATGTAGGAAATCCTTTGCTTGGTGGTTGTGTGGTCCTGGAGTCACCATTTCCCTATTACACACTCTGCTGCCATCTTGAAGAGTAGAATGGTGTGGAAAAATCTGAGAGACTGGGCATTTATGTCAAAGCTGTTTCTGGCACTGCATCGGACTAAAATTCCTGGATTGAACTGAATCTACTTACTTTCCTACTCAACCCTCTGTGGGTGGAGTAGATCAGGAAGCTCAGAATTAACTACAGATAAAATAAAGTACATTCCCTCCTCCCTACTCCAGATATCTCTGCATGTAGTGTGAGTAAATTTGTGACCCTATGGGAATTTAATAAAATGTGTCTATTTTTAATTTGTCCTCCTGGATTTCCCCCCAACCTTTGGGGCTATTTTCACAGAAGTGTGATAGTGCTGATAGGCAAAACTTCTGCACTGGCTGCATTTTTCCTCTCCTCTTTGGAGGAAAGCAATTTATTCATTATATCGTATTACTATACAGGACAATGAAGATAAAAAAAACTGTGAATGGCTTCACCTCTCCTTGTCTCTAAAGAAACAATTATAATGAAAGTTGCAGGGGAAGCCTATAGGAAAAGTTGAACTTGCTAATATTTCTCATAATTTTTGTCAAACAAAAATGTCAGATATGCATCCCATGTGTATTCTAGATGAAAGAAAAAGATGGTAGTTAGAGTTGTTGACTGATTCAGACTTTATGTACCATTTGCTTTTGGCAGAGTCAATAATTTTCTCATTAACTTTCAAACTTGCACATATTCCAGGATTTAAAAAAAAAACATGTTTCTGATTCATTTTCATTTAAGCTATTATAAAGGTGTTTAATAAGAGTGAGTCCATATATAAGATGACGCCCAAAGCTTTTAAATAAATGTATGAACTGGGTGCAATATCTTTTTCTTTAAAACAGAAACATTCCTTTTCCAATTGTAAATCAAGTCAAACTTAGAAAAAGCATGAATTTGTATGAGCATCCTACATCCGTGATGATGTTGTAACGGTAAGTCTGGAAATAGCCTCATTTCTCCTTTCCTGATCTCTCAGCTCTGATTTTTGTATCCAATTATGCTTATCAAATAGTAGTTTTCTGTAAGCCTGCATCTCTTTTTCAAAGGCCCCGTTGGTGTATCTTCTAGGTGTCTGGAACCCAAGTAGAAGCCAATCTCTTACAGCCGGCTGTTGGTTATCTTTGGGAATATGAGTGGAGCGGTGACGGAAATAAATCTGAAGGCAATGATTGAAATTCATAAATAATCCAGAAGCCACATTCTAGTAAACTCTCCCCAGGGTCTGATGACAGGTTTCCCCTCTCTCCTCCTGCCCCTGCTTCTGGCTGAGAAGCAGAGGAATGACCTAATTCAGAGGAAGGGAAGTAGACAAGACAGGTACGCTTGTCCTCGGCCCAGAAGACGGACTGTGTGTGCAGAGGTACTACTCTTCCAGGCCCAGACAGAGCTTTTCCGGTAAGGAACAGAAAGCAGTAAAGCTCACTTACGACTCCAAGAGAACTGCAAGCAAGAGCTAAAAACTTCAGCCACTCGATCTCCTCCGTGAAACGGCCCACATTCATCACACTATTAAACAGGTCTGTTGGGAGACTCAGCACCTTCCACATCTGGGCCAGCTCATCTGCGTGGATAATCAGTCTTCCAGCAACCTGGAGGTCAGGGGACAGACGACGGACAGGGAGGGACAGGATGAGAGAATGCCCCAAGAGACACTGCCCAGCAAGGCCCACATTTTCCCAGCACCCAGCAAGGGGTTTGATGGCGGGGGTGGGATCAGGGCAGGACTCTGGCCATCCTCTTTGTAAGGGTAGAGAAATATTCAGTGTAGTGTTAAGCGTGCTGAAGTATGATGCAATCATTTTAACTCTCAATGTCAAGATTATAGGGAAATAATATCTTTATTTTACATTTTAATTTTTTTCTGATACTTTTATTGTCTGCTGTTTTATCCCTAGGTTGTGCCTATAAGGGAGATAGGGCAGCCTGCAAATGAAACCCAGGAGCTGAGGACTTGTCTGAGACCAGTAATCAGTAGTGAAATTAGAATTAGATGTTAAGTCTCTTGCTTCTAGGTTCTGTGGAGTTCTTTGCACTAGACTTCACATGTAACCCTCATGCTTTTCCAAGACTAATAAGGGATCTGTGGTCTGGATGCCTAATATTGCTTGGTCCCAGGTATGTCAGATCTCTGATCTCTGCCATGTCTGTGGCATAAGGTGCTTGGTGGTTAAGAGGAGAAAGGGAACAAATGGCCATTCGTTGGCCAACAGTGTGATAAGGCTACAGATGCCCTAGTGAAGCACACACCTTCCCTGGCCCTCTGATTCTAGTGAAATGCTAAGCCTCTTGGAGCAAGGTAGTTGGCTGTCAGTCCTCAAACACCCCAAACCTCTCTGTCCTGGATTTTAAAGCAGAGTATAGTGGTGCTAAACCATATCCTGGGAACTGGCCAAACTACAACTCTCTCAAGTCAGACCTTCCTCATCCATTCACTGGAAAGCTCCCAGCATGATATGGCTTTGAAGAGAGCGAGGATTTTCCCTAAAAGCTAGGCTATGTCTGCATCTGGGATAGCTGGGAAACTAAATTATGCCCCTCTCCAAACTGAATTGCCATCATATTATGTTCTTGATCAATAAGAGTGTCACAGTCAAGGGACTGTGGACCTGCGCTTTTCTGGAGAGAAGGATTATGATTGAGTTGATTCCCTGGACATCCTGCCAGCTTCAGGGAAATCTGGGATAACCCCACTAATAGCTCAGCTTGGGGCCCATTTCAATATCATTCCTATCCCTAAGAGAAGATTTGCTTTCAATGAACAGTTTAGTGGATTTTATGATATTGATTGGCCAGGGCCAGCTTTTGTCTGTGCCCACCTGGCCTCGGTATTACCCCATCTTCCCCCTTGATGCTCTGGTACAGCCCTTACCCGAGAATGCAGGATCTTTAGCAGCTCAGGTGTAAGTTCTGCCCAGTTAGACAAAGCCACTCGCTCAGACCGCTCTCTCACTGGAGGAATCTCTCCACGGGACATAGCCCCGAAATAACTACAAGAAAAAAAGTTAGGGGGTAGGGAGAAAATCCTACATTCCAGTGGTCTCTGGCTGCTTTGAGAACCCCCTCTCCTTTTTCTTGAGGGCAGGGGATGGAGGAAAGAACATTTGTTAGGGACTCCTATATGCCAGACACTTTGTTTAGATCGTTTATGTACAGGAAAAGCCCGAATGTGTTACCTGCCATTCCAGGTATAAAGAACACTTAGTGAGTAAAAAGATTTGTTTGTGTCTAAGGATGACAAATAATCAATAAAAATTTTGGTATGGAATTCCCTGAAGCATATAGGGTCTGGGATTTTTTTTCCCAGTCATCCCTCCTAAGTGTTTAATATACACATGTGTATGTGTGCAACCACACATTACATACACACATATACATATATATAATAGGAGATACAGAATATATATGTATTATACATTATATAGAAAAGAAGATATTATATATGACATATACACATAATACATATGTAATACATCATATAACAGTAATTTGTGTTTCTCCTCTATTTTATAGAACACATATATTATATAATATATAATATGTACATGTACATACACATATACATAGATTATATATTATATACATTATATATGATATAGTATATATATAATAGGAGGGAGAAAAAGATCATTGTTATTTTAAATCCCCACTTTCTTTTAGGGAAGAAGATTCCTGGTACCTAGAGGAACTGTTTTTTAATCATAAAATCTTTATTTCCAGTAACATGGCTATTGACATACTTAAAGTTGATTATTAGGTAGTGAGTAATATGTAATACGTAATATGTAATAGGTAGTCTCGGTAGTGGGTAATCTAGGTAGTGGGTAATGTGTAATCCTGGTAATATGTAATAGGCAATCTTGGAAAAAAGTTGGAAGAGCACTAGAGTGACTTGTACAAGAAAGGGGAGGAGAAGGAGGTGCTCTCGGGATGAGCAAAGAAACGTTTCCAGCTGGAGTTCGTAAGGCTTTAAGGGGCTTTAAGGGGAGAGAGAAAGAAGGTTGGCAGGGCACTCTGAGGGAGGCTCAGGTGAGAAGACAGGCCACGGAAGGGGAGAGACGATCTTATGTGGGGGTGTGTGAAGTAAAACTCTTCTCTATCTTTCCTCAAAAATTGTAATAAAATCTTCCCACTCACTGACATTTTGTGGAGTGGACTCTGGGTGCAACATGGAAAAAGTACTGAGTCCGGTTTCAGGATTGATATTAGACAAAAGAGCTGGGACGCCTGGGGCTCCGTTGGTTAAGCATCTGACTCTCTTGGATTTAGCTCAGGTCCTGATCTCATGGCTCTTAGGATGGAGCCCCCGTGTTGGGCTCCTCAGTTGGCAGGAGTCTGCTCGAATGTCCTCTCCCTCTGTCCTTTCACTTGTTCTATCTCTCTCAAATAAATCTTTTTTAAAAAAGATAAAAAGGGCTGCCTGTAGCAGGGAATGGACATAGGAGTTGACACATGGGTCACCAATGCTATCTGGAAGGGTCTGTCTCCATCAAAAGCCTTGTTATTAAGAATCCCAGGATCATGCACCTCTGCCCCTCTCTGCTTTAGTTTTCATGAATAAATAGTCTCATTATTTTTCTCCAGATCCAGGAGAATAAAAAGAATAACAGAGGGAATTTTGTAGAAGCCCATACTAAGGTCAAGCCATACAAGGATAGGGATGCACCACTACCTGTCTCTAGGTTCCAGAGCAATGTAGAGCTACAAGGACCAAAATAAGACCTTCCAGGTACTGCCTTGGAGGTCAGCAGCAGGGAGGGCAGAAGAAATACTGTCTGGATGTTTACCATGTGCACGAGCAACCTCCACAGACAGATCAGTGTTGGGATACGTGTGGGTTCAGGGTGACAACAGGAGTGGGCTCTAATAACTTGGGCAGCATAAACAGAAGAGATAGAAACGCAGCACGTCATGTGGCAGAAGTGACTGCCCAAATAGAGAGTGATACTCAGCAGCAATGTCTTTGGACTTTTTAACCAAGTTGGTGAGAGAATGTGGAAATGAGGCTGAAGTCAGGAATTTAGTACTCTGTGGGTTATTTAGCTTCATTTGCAATGAACAATTCCACGGTTGTTCACATACATTACAAATCCATGCGGTCACACATACCACAAGACACGTTTATATCCTGCAGATGTCTGGGAGGTGATTTCTTCTCAGACAGCACATATGCAGGGAAATTCTTGCTTGTGATGAATTAAGCACATATTTTGTCTTGGGAATACTTTGTGGAGTTTCTACAAAGTGCTACGGGCTTGTGAGTCTCATAAAACCATCTGATAAATGCTTTTCATGTATTAATAGATGGAGAGTGCTCTGGGATCATGCTTTCCTTTCTCATTGTAGCTAAACTACAAACTGATTCTTCGTGGATATCTAAAAAATTTATAGCACATGATACAAAAAGGGAGCAAGCAGGCTACAACAGTGGAATGTTTTCTCCCATAAATGTCAGGGACAATGGCAAGAAATGTCATTTTCCTTGTTATAAAGCAGCGGCATAATAAAATGGGGGGTTAAACTATTGTGTGGTATAAAACAAAGTCTGTCTGAGTATGCCAAAAGAAATTAGTCTTCTGATGCCAAAACACAATCTTGGAGATAATATATAAAATTTAGAATGGAAAACTAAACAGTGTTCATTACTAGCAAAGCAACCCCATTATGTCCCTTATTTACGAGCACCACTGGCTTATTTTCCCTCCATCTGTAAAAGGTTCATCCTGACTCAACCCAGCACCAGGAGTGCACTGGCTGTGACTGTGGGGCTGATCTTGGATAACATTGTGTGCTTTCTCAAGGTGTCCACACCTTCCTCCCACCTGCTCAATACACCTCATGCTGAGGACATTCTCCCTTCTTCCGGCCCCCCCTCACCCCACCAGCTAGGCATCTCTGACTCCCCTTCTCCCTCTGAAACGCTACTAAGGAGGTCATCCTTAAGCAGTAAAACTAGCCTGAAAATGATCCAGGAGGTATGGTTAGTTCTCGACCCCTGCCTCAAGTCCCGGATCCCCAGTGTCAAGCGGGCATGTGTCCCTAAGAAGCCATTTCATAAATGAGAGGCTTTCGGTGCAAAGCTGTTTCAATCCAGGCCAACAGCTAGCTCTCGCTGTGCAACCTCTTTCCATGGAACAGCCTCCGGAGGTCGCCCCTGAAAGGGGGAACCTGAGTTTGAGGCGCAGTGTTTTCAGCCTGGCCCGCTTTTCCTGCCCTCGGCACTCAGGGCTGCCTTCTCTCTCCAGAGTGCAATGTGCACTGTGTGGACATGTGCATGTTGAAGGAACAGACGAGTTCAAACAAACACGAAATAGAATTTGCCCAAAGACAAGCCACAGAATGTCTCTGGTTGAGGCAAGAATGAGCTTGATCCGCAGTGGAAGAAGAGGGGTGGGTGGGTAGGGGGTGGTCCTCAACAAGGCGCAAGCGCAGAGGTGAACCCACTGGGACCGAGCACACACAGCCCAGCCCGCGGCCTCAGCGCCCGGCTCCCCGAGGCGCGCTGCTGCTCTCTAGTGGTGAGACCCGAGACCCGGCCCTATATCGGACCAGGGAAGGCAGGCGGGGCTGCAAGAGCCCACCCCCCCTCTCCTCCCCATCCTACCCCCGCCCCCCGCGCCTGTTTCCCCTGGGACGGGGGAGGGGGGCGCAGGGACCGCACCAGGTGCGTGTGCGGCCGCGTTGTGGGACTCTAACTCCTGCTGATCGCCCCAGGAACCTCGGCCGGTTGCTCTGGGGTCCTATCGCTCAGTCTGGGTCGCTTAGGGGATGGCGACCCACCCTCACCCAGCGTGATGTATTTATGGGTGGATTTTAAAGCACCAGAGCAATTCGAGAGCTGAACATCATAAGATGATGCTAATCGGTCCCGACTCCCAGGCTGCAGCCATGACAACCTCCTCAGTTTTCCCGAGGACCTCCCCTCCTCCACGCCCCGCCTCCACCCGCAAGGGGCACCCGGGGCTGAGGTGAGAACGAGTACGTACTCTGCAGCCCACTGGATGAGATCCTGCGGCTGGGTCCGAATGGCAGCTTTGGTGAATTGCTTCAGCAATTCCGGCAGCTCCGGGGGGATGCATATTTGCTTATCTGTCTGAGGCATTGCTTGGTCGACCTGATGGCAGGGGAAAGATAAATAAATAAATTGGGAATCTTTGAATCATAAAATGAGAGGGATCCTGGGCAGGATACCACCCTGCCTCTGTTTGATACTCTCTATACTGGGTAGAGTTCAGTCCCTCATAAGGTGTATGCATTCTGTTGTTACACAACTCTGAAGTTAGAGAATGAGTTACTAATCGTTACTTTTCGTTCTTGTAAATAATTATGTCCTTTACATAAAAACCACACAATACTTCTTCATTTAAAAAGTAGACATCAGGGGCGCCTGGGTGGCTCAGTGTTAAGGTTAAGGCTTTTGCCTTCAGCTCAGGTCATGATCCCAGAGTCCTGGGATCAGCCCTGCATCGGGCTGTGTCTGCTCAGCAGGGAGCCTGCTTCCCCCCCCCCACCCTGCCTACCTCTCTGCCTACTTGTGATCTCTGTCAAATAAATAAATAAATCTTAAAAAAAAAAACCAGTAGACATCAGCAAGAGGTAAACAAAAATATCCCTTAGTGATGTCACCCCCAAATATTGGATATCTCCTTCCAGAATTTTTTCAGTGTAAATATACATGTGTTTGTATAAATAAAAACGGGGTTACGAACATCTTCCATTTCTCTCTCTCTCACACACACACACAACTGTTATGGAAGAATAAATTGTAGCAAAATTTACTCTGTGAATCCTTTATTACTTGATATTAGGTTATTTCCAAATAAAAATAATCACTAAACAGCCATGTGGTGAATAACTCTCCTTACACCTGCATGTATTTATCTTTTTGATTGTAAAAGAGGAAACTTGTACATTTCATTCAAAAGTTTCCAGGACAAATTGAAAAAAATAATAAAAATCCATAGATAATATGCAAACAGCAAATTAAAAGATTTTGCCTGATGTTTGTAGAAAAAAAGAGACTAGATAATCCAAAAAGCCCCCATCTTCACACCTACACGTTAGACAAAACCCAGCAAACACACCTCTCAGATTAGATTGTCTTGCTGAACTTGAAAAAAAGTGAGAGAAATCCTTAAGTTCCAAACAAAGCGAGTAAAGCAGAAAGGAGACTGGTAAGCAAATGCAGAAAGTAAGGGGCAAATGTAGATGCCAGGAAGATGAAACTTTCATACAAATGATCAGACAAGTTGAAAACAGACCAGGTAGTAGGCCACAAAAGTGAACAAATGAACTGCTGGACTGAGACCCTAGAGGATAACACACCCTCAATGTAAGCAGTAAAAATATGTGCCTACAGGCAGGGGGAAACAACCCAGAAATGTGTCTTCATTGCTGCTTCTTGTTGGGGGCAACATAGTTTCCCACAAGTCTGTTTGCCATGAACTAAGTCTAAGTTTTAGATTTATACCACTGTCCCTGTTGGGAAATTCCAAGAAAATAAACTAAAGTGGCCTCAGGTTGGTGGTAAAGTGGCCCCAGCCTGGTGGTATTCCATTCTCCTTTACTGAATGTTCTTTTGTTTGAAGGAAGAAGAGTTCAAAGATGTTGATTGATTTCAGACTTTGCAAAAAGTCAAGTATGCATAGTAAATTTCAAGAGTAATTACTACAGAAATTATATAACCACCAAACCAGAAGAAAAGAGAAAAAGACTTAACAACAAGAACAAAACAACTTGATCAACCCACACGAAGGCAAGAGAAGAGTGGGGAGAAGAACATAGAAAAAGTGGATGAACAACATGATAGAAAGTAATCCGTGTATATCAAGTAATCATAATAAAAAGCAAGTGTGGCCATCAAAATGCAGAAATTATCAGACCAGATTTATAAAAAATCCAACTATGGGCACATCTGAAAAGACCTAACGACACAGAAAGACTGAAGGTGAAAGGATATATGGATAAATAGGCAAATAAAACCAAAAGAAAATCAATGCAGGCATGTTAATACCAGAAAAGAAACTTCAAGGCAAAATGCACTATTAGGAGTAAGGAGGGTCAGCACGTAATGATAAAAGCTTCATTGAGAAGACAACAGAGTTTTCATTGAGTAGGCCACAGACACCACCATGGGTGAATCTAGCAATGTTAGATGGAAAGGAAAAAATACCGTTTAGGATTACATGTATATGCTATTTATTTATTTAGAGAGCAAGTGGGGGGAGGGGCAGAGGGAGAGGAAGATAGAGAATCTCAAGAAGACTCTGTCCTAAGCACAGAGCTTGATGCAGGGCTCGATCCCATGACCTTGAGATCATAACCTGAGCCAAAATCAAGAGTCAGACACTTAACAGACAGAGGCACCCAGGTTCTCCCATGCATTTTATTTTCTATGTATGAAGTATTTCATAATTTAAAAGTAACCATTAAGAATGTATTGTTCTGGTAACTTACCAATCTTTTTTTGCTCCTATTGTCTGGAAATGTGTATATATATATATATATATGTATATGTGTATATACATATATATACACACACACACACACACACACACACACACATATATATAAAATTGTCATTAAATATACGAAATTTACCACTGTAACCACTTTTAAGTATATGGTTCAGAGGCATTAAATGCATTCTTCTTGTTGTGCACCCATCACCACCAACCATCTCTAGAATTTTTCATGGTTCCAAACTGAAACTCTGTACCCATTCAACAATATGTTTCCATTTCCCCACTCCCCTGAGCTCCTGGCATTCTGCTTTCTGTATTTATGAATTTAACTACTCTAGGTATTTCATGTAAGTAGATTCATACAGTATTTCCTCTTTTGTATCTGGCTTATTTCACTTAATATAATGACCTTAAGTTTCACCCAGGTTATAAGAGTGTGTCTGATTTTCCCTTTTTAAAGCTGAATAATATTCCATTGGATATATATACCACAGTCCTCTGTTGTTGAGCGTTTGGATTTGGTTTTGTTTTGTTTTGTTGGTGTTTGTTTTTTTTGTTTTTTGTTTTTGTCTCTTGGCTACTGTGAATAATGCTGCTACGAACTGGGTATACAAATATCTTTTCAAGTACCTGCTTTCAATTCTTTTGGACATATACCCAGAAGTGGGATTTCTGGATCAGATGGTAATTCTATTTTGGATTTTTTGAGGCAGTGCCATCCTGCTCCCTCAAAGAGGTTGCATTTTAGACTATTTGTATATATTTAGAACTTTTAGTTGTACAATTGTCTTATTTCTATTCTAAAGATTAAAATGGCCTTATATAAGTGAGAAGATGGCCCAGCCCTAATTAACTAGGCTTCCAGGATGACAATAACAATGATAACCCTTGGTCAGTACAGAGCAAATTTAAGCAAAGCCTTTACCCCGTGCCTCTTCTAAGAACATTCCGTGATCTCTCTCCATTTTTGGCCAAACAATCTCTTTTTCTCCATGATTAGTCCGTCTTCAACCTCTTGCAGTTCTTTCTGCTCTCCTGCCCCACCATTTTCCCCTTAAAATCATCAGTTGCATCTATTAACTTCTGGTCTGTACCAGATGCTATGTTAAGTATTCTGCATACATTTTCTCACTTAATTCTCGAAATATCCCTAAGATGTAGATTTACCACCATTTTAGAGATGATGAAACTGAGAGAGAGAATAAAACTTTTGAAATGACATGTAGCCCGTAAGTGACAGAGGCAGGATTTGAACACACACAGTCTGATGCGGGAGGCATGCCATTAAACATGACTGTCCCTTCCTTCTTGAGGCTTTCTCTTCCTTTGATGGCAGATACCATTCTTGTTTTTCTATTTTCCTTCACATGCCTCCTGTCACCGTAATTTTTCCTCTTTTCTTGTGTTAAGCATGAGTTTGCAATCTTCCCAAAGCTCAGTCTTCAGCATTCTGAGTTTATGTCTTTCTGTCACTCTTTTTGGAGAGCTCACATCCCCTCATGGCTTCCTCCACCGCAAGATGGTGGTGATTATACTTGTTGTCCATCCCTGTCCTTTCACCTGTGCTTTTGTTGTTCACTTCTTACTGCTTCCAGGATACATCTCCACCAAAATTTATTCTCCATCTCCTATCTAAGTCCCTTTCCCAACTTTGTGTCTGAAAATCACGCCACTATTTTCTCAGTCATTTGGCCTCAAAGCCTGGGCCATCCATTCTCTTCAATGTGTTGAATCTCATGAAATCCCATGGATAAATATTTCCTCTGAAATGTGTCTTCCTTTCATCCTTTCCTCTCTATGTCTACTTCTTTTCTCCTGGTCCAGCCCCTCACCACCTACTGTGCAGGCTCCTAACTGGTGTCCCTGTCTCAGGTCATTCCCTGGTCTATTCTGAGTGTGTCCAGATCAGTCTTCTATGCTGCCGTTAATAGATGTGAGAGCCCTGTTCACAAAATGGCAATCATATCCATCCTGACTTTCAAGGTTCTCTATACTTTACACACAATTTTAAATTAGAAATTTTCTGCTAGTATTTACCAACACAAATTTCCAATGTGTAGTCTACTCTGGCATCCTTCCAATCCTTCCAGATTATGTATCTGAAGGTTGCTCATCCATTGTTAACAGAACTCTGTCTTGCATTTCTAGTTCCCTCAGGATGTTGCTAATTCTGGCAGGTTTACTTGGAAGTGCTCTCTTTTTTTCCCATCTATTCAAACTCCACACACCCCTAAGGTTCATCTTGAGTTCTACTACGTCATAGGTCTTCCTAGAAAACTCGGGGATCATCAGATATTATGTGTAATACACATTTTGCCATTTCATCCCATTCTGCCTTTTACAGATCTCTACAGCTGAGCTTTCCACAAGTGGCCATGGCAGAATGGGTTACAGGTGTCTCCAGGAGAGATGGATGGTTGTAAACTTTTTATAGTGATACAAAATTTACAACCATTTTACAACGATTCACTGATTTGTAACAGTTGAAATTATATTCGGAAATAGTTGGGCTCAGTCAGTAAACCTCCAGATTTCAGTAATTATTGTTTTTGTGCTTAAGGTTCTATGCATAACACCTGCCAGAGGAGATGCTTGTATAGGGTTTCCCCCTTTATCCATCATGTTAGAACCATCTCTGTGAGTCTGCTTA